TGCCGATGATCAATCCCTTTTTGGGATGCGGCACGCATTCTACTTCCATTTGTACATTCGTAGTGGCGTTTGAATGCGATGTGGCCTATACAATGACTTGCGGGGGCCAGCCGATGTACAAGTCAGTGTTTTTATCCTCCCAGACAAGTCTGGTACCAATTAACCGACCCCGGAGGGATGGAAGGCTTGGTTGGCCCGGGCGACTCACGACCCAGGATTTGATCCCCGGACCGCTCGCGTGGTAAGCGTGCCACTTGCCACTACACCACTTCCGCCCATAAAGCCGTGACCGAAGTGACAAATTGGTCGAGTTTTGCACGGGTTTATATGATGAGCTGCAGCGGATTCTTCACTGGTTGAAAAGAGTATCCGTCAAGGTATAGGAGATCATAACTCTAAGAAGGCTCTCAATCTCATTGGTGCAACGCCGCTTTCAAGAGAAATATAAGGACCCCCTCCCCACAGGGCGAATCAGGAATATGTAGGAGAGGATGTGAGACTTGACTTGGGAGTTTTAATGCCAATTAGGATTTCAAAAATCGCTTCATTTTTCCGAGCGATCATATTTAGCTTCGTGCAATGAGCAATCTGTTGTGTTTTTAGACTCCGATTGAAGCTTCAGAATTTCTTGACAGGCAAAAGCCGCAAATCTACTGTAAGTAGAATATTGTGTAATTCTAGCTCCATTTTTGAACTCATCATCCACGGATGATAACTAGTGATCGGACACATGAAAACACATGCTACAACATTTTTCACTGTACAATTCTGTAGTCCAGAGTGGTTCGATTTACAACTAAAACCGTGTTTCTAATGAGAACGAATAGCGGATTTTTGAGTGTGCAACCCTAAAAGAGGATTCTACGAGAAGAACTTAGGTGGAATGAGGGAAAGCTAACCTAATGGAGGGACGAACGAATCTCTCAAGGGTGCGGACCGACACGCAACTCGTATCGTCGAAGATATGGCCCTCGTAATGCCACGCATGACTTATCCGCGACGCAAGTTGGCGCCTTATCGCCGCGGTAGGTTGCTACGAGAGCGTTAGCGTTGAAGAGGGCAGCAGCGATGAGAGTCGCATCAATGCTCAAATCAACGGGCAAGGAAGGGTCCCATTTCTCGGGTTCTGGGCCGTTTTCTCGGTTTTTTCTTCTTTCCCTGTGTCATTGACCATCTCTAGCTTAATTTCCAACGGGCTACTTTTCATCGCAAATTCCGCCTTCAAACGCTGGAGTGAAATGAATTAAGATTCCTTTAGCTTTCGCAACCCAATAAATCTTGATGATAAGGGGCTACTCTTGCTAATCGGAAGAGTTTGCAATGTGACCCTAATTCTCCAGAATTCTGCGCTTTAAAGCCCTCGCATTCTGACTATTTCAAACAAAATGAGTGAATCATCAACCGACCGCCCACAACCGAGTCTATCAACGATCAGTAATAGATCATATCTATATTGGCTCCAGTAGCACCACAATTTTCACCCCCCCCCCCCCCCTTCCCTCCCCCGACACATCCTCTGGCACTTACACCAAACACTTCAATTAGCGTCTCTGGAACGGTACCATACCATACCTCTACAACGCCCTGGACCCTTATGAATTGGAACTGAAGTAAAGAATTGAACTGCAGTCAGAAGTAATGGGTAAGAGAGACGTGAGAGAGTTGAAATGATTAGGAACCGGCAACCCTATTGCCCAAGCGATAGAAGTTTGACCTCCTCTGACATATTCGTGCACAGTCCAACTAAAAAAGGCATGACGACAATCCCAGTTGACAATTAAAGAAAGGAGCTTGAGAAAGAGCGAAAGAATAAAATGCCTGTGCTTTGTCTATGAGACAATCAGCGCTTTATGCACCCAACAATAATTGCTATTGAGGTGCTCTGTAGGAAATCTTGAAAAACAAATCCATAGGGTCAAATTTTGAACAGGTTGCTATTTTCAGTGTTCAAACATGTCAAAGAGAAACTACTGGTTACGGTCGCTGAGGGAGGATATTTAGAACTTTGTCGATATCACCGTTAAAATTAAGGGACCGCAGTAGACCAGGAATTGAAGGCGGATTTAAGATGAAAAGCTAAGTACTTGGAAATCAAGTTAGAGATGGTTAGTGGTACACGAAAGGAAAAAGAAAGGAAAAACGGAAAAATTGCCTAAAATTCGAAAATGGGCCTCGGCCAGTCGGCCTAAATGGGACCTCTTCCTTGCCTGTTAATTTGCGCGTTGATGCGACACTCATCGGTGCTATTCTCTTCAATTGCGCTTGTGAATGCGAATCCTAATCGTGCTATTCCTCAAAGCTAACGCTCTCTCTGCTCAACGGCTAGAGACTCAGATACGAGATGAAGCGAGAGATGGAGGGGGGGAGAGGGTGTGCCAGGGGCCAATAGCGCCCCACTTGAGCAGCATGGAAGACCATACTAGGTCGCCAAGGGCATATCCTCGACGCAAATTGCGTGTTTCCGCCTTGGATGCGCGCATGACAATTCCACTTCTTTGTACATTCGTTAGAGGTGCATATGAATGCTGTGTGCCATATTACATATGATCTGCCAGTGGCCAGCCGGTCTACAAAGCCGCTAGATTTTATCCTCCCAGATAACGTCTGATACCAAATTAGCTCGACCTGAAGGATGAAGGCTTCGTTTATGGCCCAGATCGGAGCACGATTCCAAGACGCGACGCGGCCGCCACGCGCGTGCTCGCATTTAACTTGCCACTACACCATGCGGCCAAGGATCAAGCGGGAGATTTATTTTACATCGATAAAAAGTATAGTAAGAACGAGAGATAGTGGAAAATTGCGCCGAAAGCAGGAAGATCCAGAGAATACCTCTATTATATAAGCGTTGCAGGCGTCTAAGAGGAACAGCGACAATAGAGATGTTGAGTGTCGCAGGCAGGGAAAAGAATTAGTGAAGAGATAGGATTGCCATGAGGTAGAGCAATTTATGTAGGTCTACGACGTCAATTCAAGAGGGGAAATCGGGTTACTGGTCTTCGGTCATTGAACACCGTGTACAAGTTAACGCCTTAGCGCGTTTGCCTAGCAATTTCGTAAGATTGCGCAGCCGTATTCTTGACGATCCCTTCACCTTTTCACACTGAGGCTTCGCACTACTGACACATATTGTGGATTAATGCTTTCTCCTGACCCTGCTAGATAGGGCTCATGTAACATCCAAACGAATCTCGCGTCCCACTGTTTTCCTCTGCTTCATCTTCTAAATATTATGTTCGAAAATGAAGACACCAGTTGTATCTTTAAAGGAGGAATTCACGATTAGAATGAAGGTCGAAGAAAGGGAAACTGACCTAGTTGAGGGACCCACGGACCTCCTGAGGGTGCGAACTGACGCGCAATTCGCATGGAAAAATTTGACCTCGGCGACCTATCATGCCTCAAAGCTGGCGGGTCCGGCGATCTCCGCCCACCGATCATCTGATCACTCGCCGTAGTTCAATACGTGGCGAGTGATTAGATAGCTGAGAGAGCGTAGTGTTGAAGAGGGCACAGCGATGAGAGTCGCATCAATGCTCGAATCAACGGGCAAGGAAGGGGTACCATTTCTCGGGTTCTGGGCCGTTTCTCATGGTTCTTCCTTCTTTCGTGTACCACTCACCATCCCTAGGTTAATTTGAAATGGGTTGCTTTTTCATCGTGAATTCGTCCTTTAAGGACAGCATTTAACACACTCCTAACAAAGATAACTTCTCTTCCCTACATAGCTTTACATTTAAGATAAGCTAGTTTTACCTTACTCAAGTCGAGTGACAATACTGTTTTGTGACGACGAAGCAGACTCAGTGTACGTGCTCACAGAGAGTGCTTGGTGAGCCTCGAGCAAACCATTGTCAACATGTGGTTCCGCTGCATCTGGAGCGTCTTCCATGACAACGTCGTTGTCCACTTTTCCTTGTTCAGCTATCGAAGCCTCTTCCGAGAAATCCTCTAGTCGCTTGGGATTTTGCGGGATGACCACCTGAATTCAGCGATATGGAATTTGTCTCAAGAAAACTGCTCTTCTAGCATACCATATGTCTTGAAGTAGATGCCTCTTGACTGGTCGACGGTACTTCCATTGAGGACGATTTGATGACTCGATTTGCATTCTGGTCTATTCGCTTTGGAACGGTCGTTTTAGGTTGCCGGATACTAAAAAGGCAGGTGAATCCTAAAGGCTTGAAGGTGGCTCATTTTGCATGGAAAAAGATCAATTACCCTGAGAAGCTCTGACTGCCCTTCATGGAAACGTCCTGCTCGTGTCGTCCCATTCGGGTCAGCTTTGAGAACTTGCTCTTCACAGTCCGTGCCACCGTCATTAGTGGACTGCGCGGGGTTGATTCGGCACTCCGTCCAATTTTTTGGTCCTTCTTTTGATTACTTGATCTCTTTGGCAATGTTGGCCGAGGTATCTGAAATGATTGTGTACTAATGAGACAAAACGACAACTCCATAAATAGTTTATGGAAATAGTGGGAAAATGTAAGATACGTAATATCCCCTGGGATCTTTCAAATACTACGATAGATTACTTGTGCGCTGAAAAAGTGCACTTTCAAACCGTCGCCTGCACCATCACAGGACATCCAGGACACAGAACATGGAGGGCACCCTGTTCGGATATGTTCTGCAAAATATGAGCTGCTCAACTTCCTTATAAGCCGGCATTTTGGGATGCCGCCATCCTAAAATCCCGATTCGTGAGGTGGTTGAATAGCTGAGAAAATCAAATCCCTTCTGGTCAAATCCGACTATAAAACCGCTCATCCACTGTAGAGGTTCTTTGTAGCCCGAGTGGTTCTACTCAGTCGCAATCCAAGCATAATCGCCGCGTTTCCCCTTGAAAATTCCCTACTGTCCCGTGTCAAAATGACGACTGACGATGAATGACGGCCGGTAGGTACCTATCCGCGCGCTGATCGTTCTGTGAATTGGATGAAATAGTTGATTTGGAAAAATCATCACGGTCACAGAAATAAGCGGAGGAGAAGATCAATAAGAAATGGCAGAATTCTCTTCGGGTGCAGAGCCACTTGATGTGTGACCTCTAAAGCCATCGCTTTGAAGTCGGACCGATCTTAAAGGCAAAGGTCGGCCCAGGCGCCTGGAGGTTGTAACTTCCGTATCTTGGACATTGCAGCAACTTCCCACCTTGAAAAACCCCGTTAAGGCCCCGGGGCGTTCGGTTTCAATCCAGGGCCGCCTGGTCAATCCAGGACCGCCCACCTCCGGAAGTGGTGCGTGGCTGGCATAACGTGTGAAATCAGCTAGGTTGATTGCCGTATCAACCGATAGAACGACTGACATCTCCAGAAAACTTGTTTGTACGTGCCTCTTTTCCCAAGCCAGCCTCCTTCACTAGTGGGAAAGAGGGTTTTGTTAACGGCCTTGTCGACGGTTTTTCTCAGTTTTTTCTCCACTGTCGTTCCACTTCGCATCTCTATACTCAGTTTCAATCGCCATAATACCCCCTTATTGAGCCCGACTTTTGCCTTTAAGCCTTCCATACCCTTTGTTTCACAGAACCAGAAGCACGTCGAGTGCAGACCATACACCGCAAATGACGACGCCCTTCCTAATATGCATGTTTTCTGCCAATGAAATGATTAGAGTTGCAGTTGTATTCTATCAGTTGTCACTAATTACAGTTATTTCTCAACTATCAGCTATCACTATGAATCACTAGTTACCAGATTTACTTTGAAGCCGTCATCACTTGTGATGTGTGGTCTGCACCCGACGCTTTTCTGAAACAGAGAGCATTTCTAGGGGGCAGCCTGGCTTGGCTATAATCGAATCATATGAAAAGACCATATCTTGGTTTGAACTCCTGCCTGCGCTATCGTTGAGATTCAATCGGTGGATACGGAATTCTGCAAGTTGTTCTAGAGCAGTGCACACACCGGTAAAAAGCCCGGGATGAACACATCCGTAATTTTAGCTGCCAGGTCCCCCGACCCCCGCAACCTAAGCCTTATACCCACATCAATTGCACTTGTTCCCCTGTACGAAAGCGATGCAGTCATGCGTGGCGTTTGGTTGCCATAAACAATTATGAGTCAAATCTAAAGCTCGTAATCAAGCTGCAAAGCAATCCACATTGTGTACCGCTAACGACTCCTAGAACTTATGGCTCGTTTGTAGCTCTGGATGGATTGACCCCTGCAATTTTTGGAAGCAGTTGTTGATCAGACTATTCACTGAAGAAAATGAGCCATTATTGGAAGGGTTTGGCGAATATTCGCGTGACTGGATGCGTCCTTCATCTGCAGCGACGCAAATACCCGAAATGAATCACTTTGCACATAAATACAAGTTCTTCATAATCATAAGAACATAGGCGGATAGAAAGCAGTGCGGCCGAAGAGGAGACAAACGCTCTGGGCAGGAGGAGCTAGAGCTCAGCAATTTATAGAGCTATAGCTCCTATGGGAGTTCGTCGCACAGCTTCTGGTGGAGCATCGAATCGAATCGCATTGCATCAGAGATTCGTGGGCTGATTACAGCCGCTGTCGCACATGCTCTCCTCGAATACCATTGAAGATCTGTTTCGTCATTCAAGAAGACACACGAAAAACCCCTCAAAGAGGCTGGCAAGTCGGCGTTTGCACGCGTTAACGAGAAAAAGCAGCAGAATTGAATTTGAGTGACCTTCAAAGTTGTGAAAACCATGTAGAAAGTTCAACCAAGGGAAAGAGGACTTACTCGGGACGCTGTGCGACGTTCCATAACCGTAGGCCAGGGCTATGTTGGAAACAAGAGAGTAGTGGAAAGCCGCCGATGTGAAACGGGCGTCTTCCTGGGCTTATGAAAGCGGCCGGAAGATTAATCATTCCCGAGTCGTGTTGTGTCCCTCCAGATTTGACACAACAAAGCCTTTTCATTGTCAAACTACCCAAATCAATCGCGTTTCATGAGACCAAGCCAGGAGAATCGCAGAACTCACCGAAGTGGTGGTCGACTTCTGCACACGCTGCAACGGCTCCACCACATTACGGTTCTCGATCACCACACAGTCCGATGGCTGCGAATTCTCTCCCTGGAACAAGAATCTCCATAAAAGGAATGGAAAGGAAATGGAAAGTTGCTCAACTATTAGTTCTAGTCAAAGTCATTATTTCCATTGTATTTCTCATTGGAACCCGGGCTAGAAGTGTCTTGGTTCTATTTTGCCTCCTATGTTAGTTAACTGATACACTAATGTCAACCGCTCAATACAAATCTCTTGTGTTCAAACCAGAAATGTTCCGAATTTTGCCAATACTAATGGAACAGTAAGAGCGGGTTGACTTTTTGCCCTGATTTGAGGATCCCTAAGGAAACGTGACTTGGCCTATTGGGGTGCAAGTGGATAAGCTACACACGTTGGGTTCAAACCAGTCTCAGGTTTCTGAAAACGATGATTTGTACGGACGTCGATTAAAGAAAGTGATCCTATCATATAAACCTGAACGGCATTACAGAAATTCAAATCATGGCGCTGATCTTCAAACCACAGGGGCCATTGTGTGGCAGTGCATTTTGAATGCCGTAACATCGTCTCGCATTTTTGTCAAGCCTAATGGATAAGCCTCAGGCAGGGAAACAGGTCCAGGTAGCATGAGTTTTGATTTTGCCCGAAGACCAGCCCTCTCCTAGAATGAATCTCAGTGGATGCCCCCGTATCTTGCGATAGGCCCAGAGCACTACCAAGCGGAGAAATTTTGAATAAGATATCTCAATAATCTTTCTGGAGTACAAACTAATTATTTTTGTGAAGACGCAGCCTAAAAACGATATGGCGAAAATGATAAAAAATCGTAATGTCTGTTCAGTTCAAAACACTGTAACTATCGTAGGGGAGCAGATTCAGGCACTGAAGCGGCCGTTTGAAGAACCTCGGCGCACTCAACTTTTGAGATTCTTTTGAACGCGAACGAGAACTTTCGACAGGCTTTCAGCGCCTAACATATAAAAAATGCTTCGCCAATAAATAATTTTTTCAAGATTTTTTCTCGAATCCCTGCAGAAGAGATGTTTTCGAGACTGACCATCGTCCTTCGATTCTCTTTAAATTCATTCCGAGGCTCATTGAATTATGTCAAAAAGCTAATTCCATTTCTTTATATGTAAATCACCTTATCGCTAGATCGCCGTGAGGCGTGGCTCATAATGCTCTCGTTGGATTTCGACTCGGGAATCGGTGGAATGGAGCGATTCAGAGGTGGACGTCGGCGAGGAGCCTGAAATGATTCACAAGTTGAAGCGAAGAACCAGGCAAACTCATGTACAGCATGATTCAACTACATAAAGGCGGAATGTGCATATGAAAGTGCAAAGGAGTGCCAGTGACGACGCTGACAAAAACGTCGGAGGGAGGCGGACTGATAGCCGTTGTTGGCCATCGAATGGCATGGCCATCCATCTTCGAATAGTCTTGATCGTTTATCCAGCTAACAGACACCAATATCCGAATGCATAAACTTGGAAAAAGCTCGGTGAGCGAACAAAGAGGGAAACGAGCAAATTTTGGAGACAACCAGGGAAAGAAGAGGCTATGAGGTTTCGCTTAGAGGGAAATACTTGACGAGAGGCATGCAACGGCTATGGCAGAAGTGGCTATCAGTGTTAGCTGCGGATGAAAGCAGTCTAGCTTGATCGCCGGGAGAGTAAAAGTCTCTCATTTACCCAGTTGAACAAGAAGACCCACTTTTTAAGGACAGAAATCAAATCGTTGTCGTCTTTTATAGTGAACAAAGAACAACCCAAGGATTCACAAATACTCGGAATATATCTGCTTTATAGCAGCGATGTCAGTGGAAAATCAAGAATCTAGTTGGATAGATCTTTCTCTCCCCCGCCCCTGCCCCCGTCTTCCTCGGCATCCTTCCTGAATATGATTGCTTGACAAACAGAGATCGCTTGAAAAGTACAGAAACTTGCCTGGGATAGAAAGAAGGACCTGACCTGCGCATGTCTTTTAGTCAGCGTTCATATAACGCGTTTAACGCCAGATGATCTGCATGAAAAGTACTAGGATTTACTACATATAAATAGAGAGGCTGGATGGACTCGCGTTGTCCCCATGGGCTCGCATTTGTCCCTTTTGGATGTCAAATCTGACATATTAATCACAACTCTTTCGAGGTACCCAATGAGAAGGTCCAAAATGCAGTGTTTGGAGCCTCTGCAAAGGGACAAGGTGACGAAGGAGAGTTCATGGAATCGCCGAACCAAACTGTTGTCATCACAACAAGAAAGACAAGATTTCTTTTCTGCAGCCTAATCTCTTATTCATGAGAGTAAGGCCAGTATAGCAAGGTTACTCGATTTGCAGAAAGAGCGAAACGAGTGAGGTAGAGCCCACACTAATGTGTTAGCATGTAAACCCTTCACGCATTTTCTCGCAAAAAGCACCTTTCCATGAGGACGTGCTAAAGTGCTTGAAATAGGAATAAAATTCTTCCTTTATCTAGAGCTATTTATCAGGTTGGGCAATATTTATCCGCCATTTCATTTCACAAGGTTTATTAACAAAACCAAACAAAAACAACAATAAGTGCGTAATCAACAAAGGCTCTCGAACAGTCCTCTCTGCTACGGCTTCATTGATTCTACGAGCAGATGCAGAAGCATTCGGTTTCGAGCTCAACTTGCACTCATGTAGCATGAGCAATCTTTTTTGCTAGTGTGTAAGCTCCATAGTGAAGTAAATACACAAGTGTTGTACATCAAAATGTACAAGAGATTGAGCGCTTTCAGACTACATCATAACCTTTGAAAATCAGCAAAAAATCAAAGAACCATGAGCCTGAAAAAAGTGGCGGGTAATTTCTGCTCAACCTAATAAAACGCCATTCCTATACACAATTTAGTAAAATTATTATATTAGAGTCCCACCGAAAACCTTCAGAGTAGACCCTCCGTAAGTGAGTAGCAAATAATAACATCAGCCCCAGCCACATATGTGCTAATGATACATAAGAAACCAATGATCCGGCCACGTCGCTTCTCTAAACTGGAAGAAGAGCCGGTCACTTCACGAAAGTAGCTGGCTGTCGAAAATCCCCAACGAACCGTGGGAAGCAGCGCATGAGAGGCAACCACCGCAGACACATTAGTTCAATGAAAAAGCCCGCTTTACTCAGGAAACAATACGGTAACTGGGTAGACATGCGTGTATGTACGTATCCAGTCGGGATTATTCGTCTTCTTGTCGACGATAAACTGCGATTTATGCGATCATTGGGCGCACTAAACGATTACTATTATTCCTAAGACTGCTCTATTCCACTCAGCTGTTGGTTTTGCGCCGTAGCTAAGGATGTGAATCCCATCACAAGGAATATGAGTAGCCTTGCTCCGGATTCCATTCAGCACCTGCGCTTTCCGAGTGCTTACCTGTTACTCTATCACGACAAACGTCCGTTTTCGTAATCCAGTACGATGACATTCACGGGACAATATGGTTGAAGTGGAATATCTTGGAGATCATATCTGTCACAATATCATCCTCTCATTGAAACGAGATCGAGAGAAGA